CAATGTTGGCATGGATGGGATATTCTGACTCTCATACATGCTTTTATTTTGCATTAAGGTGCCAATCATGTGATGGTCCTTCTCGGTTGGGTTTGTCATTCCGGATTGATGGAGTATTGGCTCATGTATACTATTTCGGGTTAGGTTGTCAATACTTGAACTTATTATGCCCATATGACTTTTTTGGTTCACGGAGCTTCTTGGATTTATTCTACTTGTATCAATTTCAACTGAATTTAAAACATGGTATTTATTTTGTGATGTGTCCTATTGTTGATATGTTGACTATGGATTGGTCTTTATGTTAAGTTCAACTCAATGTGGTTTGCCTTTTAACCTTGGTTGGACCTCTCCAAATGTCACAATTGGGGGAAGGGCTTATGTGAAATTTAGGTTTACGACTATCATCTTCATTCGGCAGAGGCAACCTATTGGGGAGAGAAATTGAGCAAGGTAAATTGTTTGATTTAGTTTACATCATGAGTTTTACATGCTATAGGGGTATTTATATCCAAAAAAAGGAGCTAAAATCAACCACTTCAATGCCTCTAAGATCTGACCTAAAACTGCAAATTTCATGTCAGTATTCTCATATTTAATCAAAACAATAATTTTCCAATGTCGTTTTACAAAAATAGCAACTCCTAAGGTCTGTATGGGGGTAGCTTTTTCATTACTTTGCTTTTAAGATCACAACAACATTTTTGTTTGTTTACTGACTTCTTGTTGCTTTTTTGCTAGAAATTTCTGTGGTAGGAAGCATTTTTTAACAATTAAATCTATTAATATTTGATAGTTGTAATAAAGTTGCTGTTTGACTCTTTTTAAATTGAATATATTTATAATGATCAACGAAGCTTTACAAAACGTTACTTTTCCCAGAATAACTTTACAACCACCTTTAGAAAAAAGGCTTAGCCCTCCCAATCGGATTCTTAGTTTTTCATACTGCATAGAAATAATGTGTCAATCCTAGATATATTTTTGCATCCATGGAAATTGATGCATACAACTAGATAGAAAAACCAAAAGGGAGAACACATGGGCTTGTAGAACTTTTCTCGATTCAAAATTTAGAAAGCCAACATCAAACAAACCTCCAAACAAATGAAAGTTGGGCAAAACAAAAACTAAATTAAAAATAAAACAAGCTACCCTCAGAACAACCGACTAGCGGTCACCTCACATGCAACGAAATAGTAGGTAAAATAAAAGAAGTTCTTTAGGACATGTAAACCAAGGGTCCACCACAGCTACTTGGGCCAACGTCCACCACAAAACTCCTCCGACAAATGCTACCAAACCGGCCAACCCGCACCTCCAATAGCTTGAGAAGAAAGATACAAGTGGAGTGAAAACTATTGGAGAGAAGAAGTAGGTAAGAAGCCTAAGATGAAATCAAAGAGAAGGAAGAAAAATGGAACAAGCTCGCAATCTTTCCCAAGAAGAAACCCTCAGGTTTTTAGAGAACTTTGCTTGGCAAACAACAACTTCTAAATGCCTCAAAACATCACATATATATATAGGTGAAAAGCTGTAGCCAAACAGCCTCAATCACCTCTAGCCGAACTAACCAAAAAAGGGGAGTAAAAAGACTAACAGACGACGCCTGGAACATCACCCGAAGGGACCACACAGGGGACAAGAACAGACAGCCATGGGAACAGGAGCCAGGCAGAAAAATCGAAAGGCCAACAGAGAGGGGGGAAAGAACCAGGACCACTCCCATTTATAAGCTAAAAAGGAGCTGAAACAAGCAATAATGAGCTGATTTTAGAAGAAGAAAACAACAACTCACCAAAGGGGAAGCTAAAACCGAGACAACCAAGCCTAACCGAGAAACCCAAGTCAGCCCAAGAGCTAAGGAACCAAAGAAGCTAGTACACCCAAAGTATTACATGTCCAAAGCACTACCTACTCATGATCATTGGATGCCTTCCATCATATGGTAGCATAATAAAACAAAAAATAGTATTCATATTAAAATAATAGTAAAAAAAACTGAAATTTGCATGCATCAGAAATATACCACCTATAACACTGGCTATAATAGAAAAGTATCATATAAGGAGATAAGGAGCAACTGAATCAAAGGCATGTGGAACACAATGCATATCTGTGAAGTAATGACAAGATTATCATAATCAAAGCTATATGACTATTGAAGTCAAGAAGGTAGTAGCAATACTACTTAATATATTCTTGCAAGATAGTGAAGTAGAGGCAAAGTAAGTGACAAGGTTAATATAAAAAAACTTTATGTTCTACTAATTTTATGATATTTATTTTAGAGATCAAATTTGTAGTCTAAATTTGCAACACAGTCTAATGCCACAGCATGACTCCCCATCTAGCATTCACATATCTTTTTTAGCCCCACATCATAGAGTAGTTTTAAGTAGTTGTCTTTATATATTGAAAACGCTAGCCACCGCTAACAAGCCAAGTTGCATGAGATGACAATCATCATTATTGAATTTGCCTACATATGCTTTTTGAATGAATTTTAAAAAAATTGTATATGAAAACTGTTACTTGTGGTCAAAAACAAGGAGGTTGGATCAAGTATTTTCCAATTTCAGTTGGTTTACATGAAGGATCAGCTTTAAGCCCATAACTTTTTTGCTTTAGTCGTGGATGTTCTTACTAGACATTTGCAGGAGGATGTACCCTGCAGTATGCTTTTTGTTGATGATATTCTTCTTGTTGATGAGGCTAGATAGGTAGTTGAAGGAAACTTAAATTATGGAGATCAACATTATTAGAGTCTAAAAGTTTTCATTTGAGTAGATCTAAAATCGAGTAATGGAGTGTAATTTTAGATGTAATAAATGGGGGGATTGTGACTTTGGTCAATTCAGTAATAAGAGTACATGTTTTAGATATCTCAGGTCTATTGTCTAGACTGATGGTGAAATCGATGAGGATATTATTAGTAGAATTCAAGTTGGATGGTTGAAGTGGAGGAATGCATCAAGCCTGTTGTGTGATTAAAAAGTACCCCTCAAACTTAAGGGAAAATTCTATAAGATGTTGGTGAGACCTGCGATGCTTTATGGAGTAGAATGTTGGCCATTAAAAGAGAGGCATACATTTAAGTTAAGTGTTGCAGAAATGAGGATGCTCAGGTGGATGAGTGGCTTTACTCTTAGAGATAGAATATGAAACGATCATATACATGAAAAGGTTGGAGTAGCTCTAGTGGCAGATGAGATTAGAGTCGCCTTAGATGGTTTTGCCACATAAAACATCGGCCTTCTAATGACCCATTTAGAAGAGTGTATATATTAGATTTGAACTATGTTAAGAGATGTAGAGGTAGACCTAAAAAGACATGGTTAGAAAATATTATAAATGATATTTTTTTTATTAGATTTAAATGGGACTTGACTCATAACAGGATATAATGGAGAAAAAAGATTCATATAGCCGATCCCACGAAGTGGGATAAAAGGCTTAATGTTGCTATTGTTGTTGTAAAAAGATTTAATAATACTCATGTATGCTATTAGAATTTTGATTAAATTAAAATTTAATATTTTAAGTTCAATAAGATTGGCTTGAGTCTAAACGAGTGGCTCGTTATGTACAAAATAAGCTTTAAATCAATGGTTTTTAAAAGCCTTTAGTTTGAAACGGGTTCGATGATTTTTCGGTGGAATCAGTCGTTCAAACTGTTTCGAGCTAGTTCAATGCAAAGTCGATTTTCGAACTTGACCAGACTAGCAACTTGATCGGTTCACTGTTGAATCAGTTTAACTGGTCGGTCTGATTTTCAAAATGTTGGTTTGTACTAGGAATACACTTGTCAAATTACAACACTAGCACAAGTAAACTAAAGCTTTTAAGGTAATTAAAACACAAGAGAACACTAAGGATGTTAAATTTGGATTCACGGGTCGGGTTTTTGTTTAAATTGAAAATTACATGATATGAATGTATGTCAAGCACGGACCCTACTCATTTATTAAATAAGTCAAAAGTATGAACAAGAACTTGACTCGAGTGATCCCTACTTGATCAAACCTAAACCGACACGATACGACACACAAAAATCGTGATGGTTTAATGTCAACTTGTCTGAGATGAACATGATTACTCAATTTGGATATCGTAACTTAAAAAAACATAACAAAAAATTATAAAATAATATTACTTTTTCATGAAATAAAGAATCAAATAATAAAATCATTATTTTTGGGTTAACCTGAACCTGATATTATTCCTTTGAATCACTTAAAGCTGATTTGAAGTGGCCCCGATTCTTACACGGGTTGATCTGAACCTGAATTTTTTGTGTTGGGTTAGAGTAAACTCCAATATTGTTATTCGTGGAGAGTACACATTTCTATCTCGTAGATACAAACATCATAGGCATGGTTGCTTCAAGTTATGCTTAAAAACTTTGAAAATACAATACCAAGACATAATATTTATTCAATGCTCAATTTTGTGCTTCCAACAAGTATTTACTTTCAGATCTCTTAGGAGGGAGAGTGGGGGAAATAATTGACGTTCACATGATGGCCACGAGACAACCTGCATAGCTGAAGTTTCAGTTTGAAGAGTTGGCTGCTTTGATTTTCTATTTAGACCTCTTAATCCTGTGTTCCAAAAAACTTTTGCAGAATCTTTGTTGATTGCAGCAAACATTTGTTCAGCAAAAACAGTTTAAAAGAAAAAATGTTTTAGTTGTCTGTGGAATTTATAAATTCATTCTCGTGGTGATCAATTTCTCTACTGGTTTATTGCAGGTTTATTCTTCAATGTTCTTAAAAGTTTTTATTTTACGTTGGCATAGATTCTATCATTTTGATTCATTAGTTCCATGTTTTTGTATTACGAAGCTGGAGAAGCAGATATTACTATTTTCAGAATGTAATACTAATTGCTCATGGATGCTTACGATTAAATTAGTATATTGGTGCCCCTAGCTTTCTTGTTTATGTTAATTGGACACTTTTTTAAGGTTGAATTCTTGTGTTGTGGTTTTTTTGCAGTTTATTCCTACAATTTTAACTCTTGATTCAGGGGTCACAAGGCCGCCCCCTCTTTTAAGCGAGTCAGATTTGCTTAGTTGTATGGATAAGGTGATTGAAGCTCCTGTTTATGTGTTATTAATGGATATTTGTCTCAAAATTTGTGTCTAATCCTACTGATAATCGTATCAGACAAACTGAGGATTTCTTAATTGTGAAGTACCATTTAGATTTGATTTTGTAATAATGATGAATTTCATAGTTGGCTTCTTAGATAACCTCCTCATATTTTCCGTTTTTTGATCTGTTTATAGGCTGGCATTGGTACGGATGCTACCATGCATGACCACATCAAGAAGTTGCTTGATCGGCATTATGCAACTAAAGATGCAAATACACGTTTTTCTCCTACAAAACTTGTAAATTCTGGCATCTCCACTTTGATAGTCTCAAATGGAAGATCTTTCATATCTAGATATTTTTAGATAGTTTTTATCCATGCTTGCTGCTTTTATTGACTTGTTATTCTCCAAAAATTTAAATGATTTGAGTAGCTTCTCCAACAAAACTCGTGAATGTCAATATTCCATTTTGATTTTCTTAATAGAGAATCTTTCATTTTTAGAATTTTTATCTCCGCTTACTGTTTTTCCACCTGTTATTTGAGATTTTCAAATATTTAGATGTTTTGAGTGGCATCGTCCTGTACTCTTAAGTCTAACATGTTGACAACCAGCGTATAGACTAGTACAGTTATCACGCAAATAACACATTATGTCAAATTTCACTAAACAGTATTTGACTCTCTCTTTGGGTTATTATCTTGAGATTTATGAGCGACTCCCCTGCAAGTGCTAGTTTTGATAGATCTGCTTAAGTCATACAGGTGACAAAGTGGGACATTTAGAAATTAGTAATTTGATGAGTTTTTCACAGAACTCCTGAGCATTTGGATGATTAATTAAGTTCACCTCAAGCATTGTTACGAGTCCTTATTGTGCTACTTTTATCTGCCAACCAGGTTTTTTCTCATTTTCACAGGGTTCACATTTATCCCATGGAAATGAACACAAATCTACCTTTTTATTGAAGCAAAGAAAAGTAAAGTATTTGCCCTATTGATGGTGAAATTCATTAAATCTCCATGCAATCATTCACATGCAATCATACAATATTTATGGATGCTAACATTTCATTCAAACATATGCTCCTATTTAATGTAGTTATGCATTTCTATTTTAAGGCATTTTAAAAAAGATATAGGTGCATTCTAAAATATACATCAAAATTTGCCAAGGTACATATTGCATAATAAAGGAAGAAAGGAACATTGCATAATAAAGGAAGAAGGAACATTGCATAATAAAGGAGGAACATAGCATAATAAAGAATGAACACTATTGAGTATATGGAGGAACATGTTATTGAATATATGGAGGAACATGTTATTGACTATATGATACTTTTAAATAAACATTTAGAGAGGAAACATTCTGAAAGTTAAAGAATTACATGTATCTACCTAAAGTAGCAAGCAAACTCTCGGACGTGTGCAAATTGCCATTTATTCTTTTGGCGCCTTTCCTCTACCATTTCCAAAACCTAAAAAAATGTAACTTTGATTATCCAACATTAATCTTAATTAATTGTCATTAAATGAGCATTTTAATGTCATTATTTTCGGATTTAAATTAATCATAAATTTGTAAAGTTCAAAGTTTGGTCCAAATCCATGATTTCCCTTTTTTAACTCTTTATAATTACCTAACTAAAGTTAAAGTGACATGAATTTTCGGTTTTGCCATAAAACCCTAAATTTGGAATCTTAATTTCCTTATTTTCATCACCTAATCATGCTAAAACTTCCTATTTACCTAATGAATATTTAGGGCATGAATATTTTCGGATTTCTTTTAAGTAAAAATTAGGAAAAATGCAAAATTTTAAAAAATCCTAATTTTTGTCCTTCAAAACATTCCTAGGGTTATTAGGAACAATATTTGTGAAAGTACTTTCAAAGGAATTAAGTTTCGAAAAAAGCTCTAATTTTGAAAATCTCAAAATTTTGGAATAAAACTAAAATAAATGTTTAGAAATTATTATTAAACTTTCCTAATCATTCCTCTTTAAAAAAAATCTTATAATCTTTAAAAATGGGGAAACCCTAGATTTTTCAACCTAAGAAAATCTAAGCAAAACAAAGAGATTTTTGTTTTAGAAACTTACTTCTTCTTCCTTAAGATTTTCCTTTCGATTTCCTCCAAAAATCATTGCCAAAAACCATCGGCCGCCGCTCACCCGAAGCTTTGCTTGCCGCCCTCTCCCTCTCTCACGTTTCGCCGAATGAACAAATGAAGGGACATTTCGGTCCCTTTTGAGGCCTTTAGGGTGATGAGGGAAATGGGGAAAACCAAATGATGCATGTGCCCTTACATGCATAAGAGTTATTTAGAGAAGGGATGTCCTTTTTAGTCATTTGTCCTTAAATAATCTTTGATGATTTTTAATTTCTAATCCATGCGAAATTAACCCTAAGTCCTTTATACCAAATCGATCGAAATTAAATGTAGAATGTTATAAAAATTATTTATTCGAATTATGATAACTTCAAAAATTTGCCTATTTTTGTCAAGGTGCATTGCAACGCGTCGTGACGCTACGACTTGACATTTTTTGGATTTTACGGAGTCCCGAGAGATTTTTTCTTGTCTTTTTTTTTGCAGTTCAATGCAAGTTATGGTTATTATTAATAACTTTGGTGTCAAATAAAACTATCTATTATGAAGGCAATGCAAATATATATTAAGTAGATCTAAAACTGAATATATGGAGTGTAATTTTAGATTTTAGTAATAATAGATCTAGTGGATAGATTGTGACTTTGGCTTCTAATCTCTTTTGTCTCTCCGCAAGTGCCGCTCCACCTGTATCCTTCTTCTCAAAGTGCAGCAACTTTAGGGTGTCTGTCGTGTTGTTTGTAAGTCGTCGTCATATTTTTTTTTACTTGTTTAGTTTAAATTGAAATGTAAGAGTTTGTTCTTCCCTATTTTGTTCGTCCCTCTTTTCTCGTCTTTTCTCAATTTCGTCGATAGAAGTCCGTCGTCTCTTTTGTGGGCGAAGGGTATAGGCTCCCTGTATCTTTTGTCCGCATCACTTTGGATGATCAAGTCATTAATAAGATCATATGTTATAGATATCTTGGGTCTATTGTTCAGAGTGATGATGATATAGATGGGGATATTATTAGTGGAATTCAAGTTGGATGGTTGAAGTGGAGGAATGAACCGGACTTGTTATGTGATAGAAATTCCCTCTCAAACTTAAGGGAAAATTCTATAAGATGCTAGTGAGACCTGTAATGCTTTATGGTGCATAATGTTGGCCATTAAAAGAGAAGCATAATATTAAATTAAGTGTTACAGAGATGAGGGTGCTCAGGTGGATGAGTGGCTTTACTCTTAAAGATAGGATCCGAAATGAGCATATATGTGAAAAGGTTAGTGTATCTCCAGTGGAAGATAAGATTAGAGAAAGTCACCTTAGATGGTTCGGTTGCATAAAACGACGGCCTTCCTATGACTCTATTAGGAATGTAGATGTATTAGATTTGACTTATATTAAAAAAGGTAGATGTAGACCTAAAAAGATTTGGTTAGAAAATATTAGACATAACCTTTCTTTACTAGATTTAGATGAGAATTTGACCTTTAACATGACACAATGGAGAAAAATAATTCATGTAGCCGACTCAACATAATGGGATAAAGGCTTGTTGTTGTTAGTTAAACAAGCATAAAAAATGTTTTATCAACTATGCTTTATCACATGACCCAACTTATTATGTGACTTCTTTTTCCATGTGAATTAAAGAGCTTATATAGACAAAAGCAATGCTAACATATAGTGTCTAAGTGATGTAGGACTAAAAGACCAAGGTGAAGTTCTCAAGTTCACTATACATACACTACATATTTCTACATATATTTTTTAATTAAAATTTAATAATGCAAATAATATTTAATATTTGTCTAATATTTTTTCATTTTATTTAGTTATATAATATAAAAATTGATTTTTTTTAATTTTTATCTATTTTTTAATGATAACTAATATAACATGTATTTATAGATGTAATTTTATAATGTAAATTTTGTATACTTTCTATAGATATAATTATATCCAAATATATAACATAAATTAGAAATTATTTACATTAAATTTAAAAATATATATGTAAACTAATTTTATATTAAATATGAATTATATTATTTGTAAAGTATGATTTTAAACCTTCAACTCATTCTTAGTTTGAATATTTGATATATATGATAGGATGAGTTTATGTTAAAACGTAAGGTTAGATTGTCATATTGTTATGTTGATTTTATTACTTTTAATACTATTATTTTTTATTACGTCATCCGGTTCTTCCCCAATCAAATCGGTTGAACCGGTCGAACCGTGAACCTCTCATTCTTCCGGTTCGTTGTCCGGTCTGGTTTTCACAACCTTGATTTTATGTCTACTTTTCTCATTTGTCCTTGTTCCATTTTATTATCATCAAAATTTATATCTTTTGATTAGTTTAACACCCTATCTACAAAGCTTTTGTCATAAATTCATTTCAAACATGTTTGAATTCATTTTTTGTGGCTCTTTAAAAACGAAGTTTTGTTTAGTAGTAATCTTCTCATGCAAGGGTTAGATCTCTGAAATTGCTCATGCAAGGGTTAGATCTCTGAAATTGTTTACAATAAATTTCTAGATTCTCCTAAAACTTTTAGAACAGTGTTCTAAACATAATTTGTTATTTTATCTCACATCAATTTCAATTCAACATTAAATACCAATTAGCCTCTTTAAACAACTTATTTCAAAAGACCAATAACTTATCATGTTTGAAGTTACACGATATTATCATACATAATTTCTTTTGATTGCTTTCAAATTTAACTTGTTCTTTTTGTTGTGTGGTTAAACCTTCTCGTTGTATCATCGTAACAAAAAGAAAAATCTTTTCTTAGAAATGTCTATTTTTGATTTGGCTGCTATTCATTTGATATAACTAGATACTCATATCATTTCTTAAAGTATGGATTTGTTACTATATGATTGTCTAATTTTAAAGCAAGATTGCTTTTCCCATTATGTCATTTCCAATTTTATACCCACCATGATTCTTCATATATCCTATCTTATTAAAACATACAAGTCCATTAAGTCATTGCTAATAAATATATTGTTTTCTATATGCATACTTAATAATTCATTCATTTTTTTAAGGAACATAAGCATAAATCACATTTATAATGTTCTTATTGATAATAAACTCACTAAGAATTATCTTCTCATCAGTTGATTCAGTAATAAGCAATAAAAGGGCTTTAATAAATATCATATCAACCTATCACTTAACTTTTTCCATAAAAAAATTATTTTTAGTCTCTCTTTCCACTATCATCCTTGTCATATTTATATTACTTACCTTTCAACTTACAACAACAAAGATAAATGTACATGACATAATTTGTAATGGATGTAAAACTGATAGTGTTCAGTAATGATCAATTATCATGTGATATTTTATTATTATAGGTTGACGCGTCTAAATCTTTTATACAAATAATGGAGATATAAGTTAGGCGATAATTTCTAAAGTTAAATTAAATTATTAAATTGGGGAAGTTTGATTGGAGTACCATTCAATAAGAGAATTTCATGAAGACTTGTAGGTTTTTTAGAACTATAATTAGATTAATTTTGCTATATGAATTTGATTATCATAACAAAATTTCACTAACAAAATTGAGTTTTCTCAAAATGAGAATGCTAAGATTGATGTGTGACAATTTAGGAAGGGCATATGATAGGAAATACTTCTTGAAATAGAAGAAAACCTTGGCTGAAATTGAATTTCAGCGAGCCCAAAACAGTAAACAAGGAAGATCTTGGTGGAATCATACAAGAGAAACTTTTTAATTGATGATAACGACATAACACTAGAGTCCCAAACACCCTAAGAACAATCTAAATTCTGCAAACAACACATTCCTCTAACCCTAGAAATTCACATACTTAAAGCAAACAATAAATAACAAATACCCAAATGGCCCTCCACCATTTCCCTCCCAAATCTGTCATATTTTCTTAAATATTTTCCTCTCAAATTAGCCCTCAAATAAACCCCCAAATGTGCCCTCTTCAATTTTGGAACATTTTTTAATTAATCTTCTACAAATCAGCCCTCAAATATGCCATCTTTAATTAGGAAATATTTCCTAATTAATCCCCTTCAGCCCCCTCTCCTGCTGCTTTCGCTCCTGCCATATCAATACTCCCCCCTCCAAAAAAAGAAAGGTGCATTGTCCTTAAGATGGAAGGATAGAAAATGACTGAGGAACACCTTGTCTTTGACCAACCCTAAATCTCGGACGTCCTCCAGGTTCTGCAGCTCCACCATGTAGCCCTGCCATGCTTCTTGTATTTCTTTGACCATGATTTTGAGTGAAAACATAGTTTTGGACAGGCTAGGATCCCCTCTAATGACCACTTTACTCCCTTCAATCTTGAACTCCATCATTAGCGTTTGCCAATCAATCGATCTTTCCAACTTCTACAACCATTTTATTCCCGACATTAGTGCTCCCTAGCTCCAATGTGTGAAAGTCCTCCCTCACCTTGAATCCCTGTACTGTGCTGTAACCGTCTTCCCATCTGTGCTGTAACCGTCCCCTACACACTCCTCTGTCTGTCACCGTCTTCCCAGTGCTCATTATCACCCCATAGCACCCTATGTCCACTAGTTTCACCCTCAATTTCTCTACTACTTGGTTGGATATGAAGTTGTGGGTAGCTCCACTGTCTATCAACACTACTACCTCTCTGTCGGCTATTTCTCCTCTCACTTTCATGGTGTGATGCGGAGTGAATCTCACCACTGAGTTCAAGTAGACCTCTACCATATCTAAATGCAGCTTTTCCACCTCCACCGATGCCTCACTCCCACCTCCCTCCTCAACCTCCTCATCATCACAAATGGTGAGAATCAGAAGAGTTAGGTCCTTACACCCGTGGCTCGGTGTATAACTCTCATCATATCTAAAACATAACCCTTTTGACACCTACCTTTCTGTAAGGCGCTTGAAGATGTCTCCAAGGTGATATGCCGAACTCCAGTGCCTTTCTCCTTTGGTGCTTCCCTCTGAAACGACATTGTCTGGGTTCTTGGTGCCAGGTTCGTAGAGTTACCCCTGTAAGCCCCTCCCATGATGTGCTACTGCTGGCCTTCTCCCTCTGATATTTTTCCTCCACCCTCTGAGCAAGCACTATTGTCTCTCTCAGCCTTCTAGGTCTTAGCACCCTGAGTTGTGCTCGTATGTCTTCACTAAGCCCTTTCATGCAATTCTCTTCCAACCCTTCTTCAGAAGTTCCTTCCAATCTTCCTGGCAACAGCTGAAACTTCTCATGATACTCCATGATTGTCCTCTCTTGAGTTAGGGCATATAACTGTTTGTGGAAATCTCCTTCCTTAATGTCTTAGAAACACTTCAACAAACACTTCTTAAATTCCCCCCATGAATAGATTGAATATCAAGCCTCCCTCCACTGAAACCAAGCTAGGGCTTTTCCCTCAAAACATAGCCCTTCCGCTATGAGTTTTTCCCCTTCCGTCGGGCCATTAATCGTAAAGTAATGCTCTACCCGATACACCAAACCTTGAGCATCTTTCCCTTCAAACACTGGCATCTTCAATTTTCTCAATCTTGCATCCATACCCCATCTTTAGATGCCTTCACCCATCTGAAACAGGTAAAAAAAAATTAAGCTCCATTAAAACTCTATTGGATTATAAATTGAGAGGGTGAGAACCTAGTTGCGAAGATATTTATAATCTCCTTCCTATTCAATTAATGGAACCTTCTCTTCAATCTTTAGTGTGCGTAGGACAGCCACCAAACCACCAAAAAAACTGTGTACTTGTTTCTTTTCTTTAATCTCCTATTCATCCTCTAGATGCTCAATATCAGCTTCATTGACAATGTATAATTTGACTAGAGTTTAACAATTCATTGTAGATGTCAGTACTTGTTAGGACTTCATACTTTTTTATATGGTATGTTATTGACTACGATCTTTTTATGAATTGCTGCAATAACAGAATATCTAGATCATATTGCACTTTCCATTTTAAAAGGTTATATCTGAAAATGATTGCGATAGAGTATTCTTTTGAGATGAAAAATCTATTACCAATTTACCAAATCTGTTTACTCTAGGAAATAGGAGGGGATTCTTCAACTATGGTACGATGAAATTTTAAGTGCATGCCAATTTTGCAGTTTTTTGTTTATCTTTATTCTTCTTTTGGTTAGAAAATAAATACTAACTTTGGTGTTATTACTTTCCATCTTTCAAAGAGAAAGCATGGGTGTGAATGCCCTAAACAAGATTTCTTTTGTTTGATAACTTTTATTTGTTTAGATAGTTTATTTTGTCTATTAAACTAGTAAACCTGTTCAATCTTCTTAAATTTGTAGTTGCGTGATCTTTACATTTGTAACTCATTGTTACTAAACATCGAATATATTAATTGTAGGGAGAGGCATTGGTGATGGGATACGATGACATGGGGTGAGTTAACAATTATATTAACATTTAAATGTTAAAGGCATCAACAATTTTGTATGTGGCACACTCTTCATAATATCATTATATTTTTGGCAGGTTTAGCTTGATTTTGTATTACTTTTGTTATTTGAATTTATTTTCATTTATATTCATTAAAACGATAATTGATGCAACATTTGTATAAATCAAAATTTTTGTCATATTTTAATTTTAGCTTCTAGAAAGTTAAATTTTCATAAATTATGAAGCTAGAGTTGATTTGAAAGGGCTATGAATGAAAAAGGTTTGGGTTTGATGCCATTTTTGTTAGATCATTTTCAAAAGAGTAAATTACATCTAGCCCCTAAGATTGAGGGCATGCTTCACATTTGTTCATATTTTAAAAACCTAATAGTTGGGCGCCAAAGATTGATTATGCACTTCAAATTGGTTGTTCGTTGACCAAATTGTTAGATATTATCTGGAATTTTAAAACGCCCTTTACTTATAAGACCATTGAAAGACCTAGTGATGTAGAACATAAGTGCAACAAATGATTTGATTAAGAAACTTGCACGCTTAAAATTTAAAGAACAATCATAAGAAAAATTATATTGATTTAACGATAAGATAAAACAATAAGGTGATAAAATAAGCTTAGGCCAAATCACATGCATATGAGTTAAGATTATAAAATAGTCAATTAATCTAACGTTGCATACATGGAAGGTTTTCAACAAAATATCCCTACGCTAACAATAAGATTAGTCACTATGCAAGGGTCCCTCACTCAACCCCCTAGATCACTAAGCTTTAGCGGAGGCGAATAAACATGAACTTTCAGATCTTCTTGCGGATGAAATTTCTTTGCTACAATTTCTAGATTTCTGCTGCCGATGGTCCCAAGGTAACGCTCTGATACCAATTTGATAGGAAATACTTGAGTTCGCAAGCAACCCTAGCAATAATTAATAAAATAGCAGAAATAATGCGAAAATCTTGATGAAATCAATCCAAAATGATATATTGTAATAATGAAACAAAGTAAAAGCAAACCCAAAGCAATATACAATTGATCCTCAATTCGAGAGGAGGATCGATCTCTCCCTCTCTCTAGACGATGAATCTAGAGCCCAAGACGCTAAAGAAAAACTCCAAGAGAACCACTCAAAGCATGTATAATCCTAACCCTAAACAAGCCATACTATTAATACATTGATTTCCAAATTCAAACATCCCTAATTCAAATTTTCCCTCTCACCCTAGCCGCCCAACCCTCTCTCATCAAATTGCTCCTAGTGGGGCCACTAGTGTGGGCGGCAAGAGCTAAAGGAGGCGGCACATGTCCGCCTCCTGTAGACCTGAGCCGACCTTTGGGCCAACTATGCCGGTTTAGGATGAACCGACCTAACAAAATTCCTAAATTTGTTGAAAATTTTGACAGCATGTGCACTTTACCCTCATGAGGTGTTAATGGGGAGAGAATTTAGCTAATCCTGCCAATGCTAAGAAAGCAGACATCATGTTGAGTGAGGAGATGAGTTTATTTGTCTTTTATTTTTTCCACTACAAGAAAGATATGCATGGGTAGTGCATGTGACACCTCGGCATGAGAACCTTCACTTCACTCTAAGAATGATGCTCATGGGTAGCTCTGCAACCTTTAGTTTTACGACAGTATAGTGCGTGCTTCGGCCTTCTCTTATGCTAGAAGTTAGTGGTCAATGGCACCAAGGCATCGATGGATGGTAGTGCGAACAACTTTTCAAGGGAAGATAGTGCTTATTATTAAAGAGGCACTTGGGACCCTTTCTTTACATGAGAATTCATCCCCGCATATTTATAGAGGGGTAAGGGGGAGCGAGCTACTTTTAGTATTGCGTGAGTAAATGACATGAGGAGGTGTGTGTATGTTGGGGGTTGTAATTATATTTTGGATGAGTTGGACTGGTGAGGTTTGCAGGTGGGCCTTTTAATTAAGGAGAAAATTGGCTCTTTACCTTCTTATACTATATATCATAGCTTGGGACTAAATTTGTCGTGTTTCACCCTACTTACTGCAACTTACCACCAATATGTATATATAACACAGGTTGGTAGATTTATTTTGGGGGCTTCTTGTGACCTCTTTGCAACACAGACTTGATTTTGGTGCATAGGATGAATTGTTGTTCCGTGACAAATTCTAGGAGCATCTATTTGGACCCCTCTTAAGATTGTAGATAGGATGAACCAACTTGACCCTAGGCTTGATGCATTGCCAAAATGTGGAATTGGTATAGAGGTCAACTGTTGGTTGAATCCGCCTTGAATTTAATGCAATTAGGAGAATTGAACTTGGGTACTTTTAGAGAAAACAAAGATGTGATGGCATGAAAGTATGCTGGATGAAGTGGAACCTATAATTAATGTGCAATAATCTCAAAGAGCCATTTGCCCTAAACTCCATCCAAATGACTTGGCTACTCTTGACCTTAACACCTTTCACAATGTTCAAAGTGTTAAAACAATAAAGTATTTGTCAGCACTGAAAATCCATCAGATTAGAAAATAAAGATGTTGTTGAGCTTTCATTGGTGATTGGAAACTTGAATCTCTATTCTTTGTAAGACAGAATGGAAAAATCTATGCATTTTCATTTGATAGTTTACAGGAATTTTTACTATGTTCTTAAACTAATGTAGGTCTACGCAATTAGAATCCACTCCGTCAAGGGATTGAAGTGCTGAAAGAAACACTATATATTTTTTTTTGTATTTAAATTTCCATTACTGCAGGATGGCACTTATTTGCCTGCATCTTTTGGTAATTTATGCACATGAATTTATATTTCTGTTGGTTGAATGCTTGATCTTTGCTTAGATTTTCACTCTTTATAAATGCCATCCTTTTTCAGATATGAGCTTTGGAAACCATACCTTAGATCTATGATGGAGTGCGATATGAAGGAAGTTAGCATGGGTTCAAAGAGTAAATCTCAAGTGTTGGAAAGTTGCTTGCAACAGATGAAAGCTTGTTTCTTAGATGTAAGAGAATTCTTCCTGATACTATCAATACAATATTGTATTTTTATCACCTGTTCAAGTTAATGGAGGTCAATTATTGGTCAGTTAAGGAAATGGTGTACTGATGTGCTTCATTTATTATTAGTTGATTCAATGCAAATAATTTGTGCGCTCCTTTTCATACACTGTTGTTTGCAAGCTTATCTTTTGTCATTTTCCTGGATTCATTTTTTGAGAGGCCAGTGATACTGACATAGTAGAATGTTGTCTTATTTGTGTCATCCTTGTGCTGCAAGTTTGTATTTTTTGTTATATTAATTTCTTTCATGCGCTGATGTTATGGGAGATTACAATCTTGGTTATCATGTCTTACCCAAATGCTGAGTGAATGAATCAATTTGAAACCTTGCACTCGGGTTAATCTTTAAGTTTTGTGTTTTCCAGAAACTGTAACTTGGACCTTCACTTTTTTTTTTTAATTTTATAATTTCTGAAGAAGCATGTTTGATCAATCTTTTTAGCACTTTAAAATTTATATGGCGCTATTCTGTTTAGGCTGGGAAGTATCTTGCATATTTACCTGCTCGATATGCAACTGGATACCATTTAGATATATATATATATATATATATATATATAATTTAGATATAATGAAGAAGGCATGCCTGAATTCGTGGTTAGTTGACTACATTGTGAATTAGATGTCATTGGTTCGAATCTTGAAAATAAATTTCACTACATAGCAATGGTAAGCCTACATACGTGAACTCCTCTTTAGGCTATGAAAGGATATTTAACTAATTCCACCTATACTTTTCTATATACAATGCACAGCTGAATTTAGAGGTCCCTTTTTGGAAGATTTATTCTTTAATTTCAGCATTAATCTAATTCTTTTCTTGCTTCTAGAGCAGCGGTCTTCGTTGTTGTAGTTTTATCTCAATTTGCTACTTATATTGGACTTTTAAAGCTAAATTTAAGCATACATAAGCTCCTATTCTCTATAAGAAGGCCTATCTAGTGCAAGAGGCATCCGCTAATGTGTGGTTTAGGAAGGACACAATCTTACATCTATGTTGCATAGAGGATTTTTCCACGATTTTAGAGGATTTTTCCATGATTTTACTCTTGGCCTCCAAATCATGATGGATGCAACCTAAACATTGACCAAGGCTTTCCCTCTCTGCTATGTTTATATGCATTTGTTTTTGAATGTGTATATTTGGTAATTTGGCTAGAACCTTGTATTATCTTCAGGCAAGACAGAACAAAATAAAGCTCTTAGATGCAATGGAAATGTTCTTTGAGAGGTATTGTAAATTTTTAGCCTTATTTTTTCATGGTTCAAGTTTTTCCAATTCATTCTATTTTCAACAGATCTGGCAGATCTGGAGATGCACAAAATTTTGGAGCAACTGTGATGCAATGCGGTGTTTGTAATGAATCAGATATGTTACTTAAACGTAGGCCGGTAATAAATTGATTGATTTATAAGTTTTAGAGCAAATCATTCTGAGAAGTTTTTGTTCGTAATATATACTTTTATTTACAGAACGGTGATTTCATGGTCGGTTGTCAGCGTTTCCCTCTTGTGAGTTTCCCTTTATCAGTTCTGCAAACCTTTAAGAATATTATATCTGTAATACAGCATTATGCTACTCAAATTTATTTAAAGAAATGTATCAATTATTTAATTAATCTATAAGCAGCAGTAATTTAATTGATTCCATTTGCTCTGGTCAAACTCTTATGCTTTGCGTGGTATTTTAAGCCTTTGCCATGAAGCCTCCAAAATAGTTTACTGAGTCATGATAAACTCTCTTTTTAACGACATATGAGTTATTATTTTCTGACCTAATTTTTATCTATGGTACCAATTTTATCCTAAACTTTTAACATGTTTTTATGGGCAAATGAACAAATGATACCGTATCCATAACTGTTGTTTTGATCGTGGAGATTTGTTGAAGAAATGCTCATGATCTACACGTGGATTAAGAATTGCAGTAAGGTTAAGAAGATTTGAGGCCAACTTGACATTACTTGACTTCTTAACCTAACTGAACCCACACTAAGCTGAAAATAACCAGAGACTTGAAATTGTGGTCCTATTGGACTCAGTTTAAAAGGTTCAGGTGATTAGATTATTTTAGGCTGGGTATCAAGTGGTTATAATCTGCAAGATGATTGGTTAGTTGGGTACAAACTTTAGTAGCTTTTTTTGTAAGGGTAAGTTGCGGTAGATCCCTGAGGTATTTTCAATCTTGCGCATTTGAAATTTCATGAAGGTCTTATTCTTCAACTTAGCACCCAGAACATAATGATTTTAGTGGATTACCGTTAGTCTTAAGCATGTGATCATGCATATGATGCGTAAGTGAATGCGACACATTTTTGTTGGCCATAATACGGTAAGTGAATATTTAACATTTCGCTTGGGTTTTCTTAGTAGAAGAAAAATCTGAAGTGGGATAAACCCTTTTTAGCTTTTCAGAATAATTTTTCCTTTGTTCTTGATGAGAAATCTGATAAAAAAGGACAAATGTCAGTGGATCAATATTGGACAAGAAGATTGAACGAGCCAAAAAATCCCTTGACAAATGTGTGGTTTTTAGCCTTACCAGGAATCCCGTCACAAATGTGAGTAAAAAAAAAACTATTGTGATGTGAATAATAGTAGCATCTATTTTTAGTAACCCCCTCAATTTTGACTCAGATTTTGCCTCACAGGAAGAAGTATAATGGGAGATGATGGTTGCTAATGTGTGAAAGCCTCACATCATCTAAATAAGGCTCCCAAATGAGCTTATAATGTAGGGATATTTTTGGTATTAAAGGTAATATTAAAAGAATAATAATGGTGGAGACCTATATAATACACTATTCACTGTTAGGGACCCACTTGTAGTATTTTTAAAAATGTAGAACAACGTGAGATGTGGTCTACACTTCAGGAACATGTGTGCAATTTATCATTTTTGTAATGCAAAACTATTTGGCATAAATTTCATTGATATGTTTTTATTGTATAACTTAGCTCTAAAAATATGTGACATCAATTATTTATAAAAGTTGAACCATTAAATCACAAATCAAATTCTTCATTTCTTTTACTTAGAAAAGAAATTTCTTTTTTAAGAAATATTGTAAGATAATTTCATGAGAAAGTGTGATTGCACAACATAAAAAAAGTAGTTATGAATATATTATTTTAATGATATAAAGAAAACATTGAAAGCAATACTTATCATAGGTGGATTCCCCTAAAAAATTGGCTCAGCTCGGCTTATCTACAACAACTACATAAGCATCGGCGATGATCAACTACACATTTGTAAAGGGAGATTAGGAATTGATCACTGGGCAGTACGAGAATATCAAAAACTTTGTTTTAATGCGACTGAGCAATACAGTTGCACACATGAGATTGTCTGGTACCATTCCTCCAGTCTTTGTCCTAAAAAAAGTTTATTTTTCTAGAAAATTAATGTACTGAGTTTGGTAAGCTAACCTTTAAAATGTTGGGTGCACTTGTGATCTAGGGAAATCATTGTTGTAGGCTTGTAATGACTATAGAAACACCATTTTCTGTAGTGTTAAGCATCTTCTTGTAATTCTTGATGTTTTTTATTCTCAAGTCGGTGCCATAAGAATTTTCTTCCCTCCTGCTTCCATTTGGTTTAATAACATCCAATTCATGTATCATGACCGTGCTTAGTTTTCATAAAGCTCATGTAAATCCTTCTTATTTGCTTAAATTCAGCTACAATAGATATATTAGGTTTACAAGATATATTTATATACTATCATTTTGCAAAGTTACCATTTGAGTGGCGTGGCAACTGTAGTTACTTTACTATATGCTATTGTTTAGCTTATGGACGACACATTCATTATAATGCTATTGTGCAAGTAGTGCTTTAATGGATGGTATAATAAAGAATGCCTTTCACTTTCCTTCTGTGAGTATATTTTGGCTTTGTTCAGGGCATAACAGATGCCAAATTTTTTAAGTAAATTCCAAAGAAATCTGAAGATAGAGAATTTACGCTAATCCTTCTTAAGAATAGTAGGCTAGTAGCTTGTGAATTTTTAAATTTCTGATGCATACATTGTAATATAATGAAATCAATTTATTTTCCAAAATAGTTGCTGATCAACATATGATGGGATTTTGAACCCTTTAAACTCATTTTAGGGCTATTTGCCCTATTTTTCTGCTTAATTTTCTTTTATCATGCAGTGTAGGAATGTAGTTTGGCTTCCAGGAGCAATATCAGATGCAAATGTAACTGGCAATATTTGCCCCAGATGTACCCCAGGTCATCCAGAAATGAAATTACGTTTCTTTTCTTTGCTATTCTCATTTATATGCTTAATGCATTTACTTACTCCTTATCATACTCTCTAGATAAGCTTTTCAGTTTAGGTATTTATTTATTTATCTATTTTCTGGAGCACAGGCCCTGTTTTTCTTATTCAGTTCAAGTTTCGCCGAATGGAGATACCACCTAATTATGATGTTGACCATTTGGGTAAGCAGAGCATGGTTTTTATTTTTGTGAGAATGTTTGTATGTTTGTCTTTTATTTTCATAATATGTTGATCGGCAACTCTTTAACCTGTTTTTGAATAAAGACAATACTTCGTTTGTGTTGTCTCCAACCTATGATGTACCGACACTTCTTCTCAAAGAGGCGTGCAGTGTCCGACACCGTATCCGACACCGTGTCCGACACGACTCTCATCCGACACTCCTCCGACACGTGTCGGACACGCCGAAAACGTGTCTGATTAAAAAATATTAAATGCAGATTGGACACGCGTGTCCGACACGCGTATCTTAAATATTTTATGAATTTTTTTAAATATAATTTATTGTATTTTGCGGGATTTAAACTAAATTTCTTATTTCATATCCACAACACCAAATCAACGTCCGCACTTAATACCCAATCATCGAATATTCTCATTTTAATTTCTTTTTGTTTGCTTATATTTTTGTGGTTGTACTAGACATTTTGTACTAAACATCTTTATGTTATAAGCTAAACAAGTTACCATAAAATTGATTTATTATTGTTTTTCATTTTTAATATAATGTCATCTTAATTTCTATATATTATATTAAAAAAAAATTATGCCCTGTCCACGCTGCACCTGTGTCCTATATTTTTAAAAAATGTCGTGTCCGTGTCGACGTGTCGGTGCATCATAGTCTCCAATTGGTCCTGATGCTGATTTTCTAGTTTCTAGGAAGCAAGTGCATTATGGTATGACACTGAATTGTTGGATTTGACAAATTTTGAAAATGTAGTACTGGCATTAAGTGTACAGTAGGTTAATTGGAATAGATACATTGAGACACCCTGGGCCTACACATGTGGACAATAATTAAACAAATAGCCATACATATGTGCATGCCTGCATTATTTAATGTAGTGATGAGGATATCCGACCATGGAAAGTTTATCAGAGAAGGGGTTGAAAATCTACGACCATGATTGGACCACTTTATTTTTGAGTTATTATTTGTATTTAATTTATTTATGCATCTTTTCCATTTTTACCCTCACTTGAGTGAGTAGGCTTATGTGACCACAGGGAGCACTTTTGTCATTTAATTTGTTATTGTATTTTGACTATTTATAGCCCCTCTTCATTTTGAGAGATTTGATTATGAAGAAAAATTTTTGCACTTTGTTTCTTGGAGAATTGTGAGAGTTTAAAGTCCCTAGGTTGGGTGGTGGGGGGGGGACCGGCAACTATGGCTTCGTTTGGTTATTTTGTACTTTTGTAAAAGACAGTTTTAAAAAACATTGATTCAGAAAATGGAGTTTTCTAACGGAGAATCATATATAAAAAGCTTTTTCAAAACAGCAGAAAAATGACAAAAAAGGAGTTATTGGGAACGTGATTTGATGAACCAAACAATAAAGAAGAAATAAATTTGTCGTTTTAAAACAAAATAAGTACTAAAAACTTCCAATCAAATGAAGCCTAAGAAGGAGAGGGGCAAGACGAAGTGGCAGCCTCCCTACCCTCTTAGCCGTCGCCGACCAATCACCCCTCCATAACCCACCGGCCTTTCTCTCCCCTGCCTTCCCCTCCTAGCCGCCGGCCATCCACCCCTCCACTTTCCCTCCACACTTTCAAACCAAGCAATCAAAACTTTCCAAACATAGCATATCATAAAATTCTAAATTCAGCAACCCTCTTAAAAAGTCTTTAATTTCATATTTCAATTCCTTTAAAATTTGAAATTTCTTTCCTAAAATAAGATGTGCTATTATAGGGAAGTTCCACCATTCATACCAATTTGAATTTTGAATAGGTGATACTCTAAATCTCCTTTCCTAATTTAAAATTCTAAATTCAGCAACCCTCTTAAATTCTCCAATCAATTTCCCCTAGACCTAGTCGCCCTTTCCCTCTCTCTCTCTCTCCCCCCAATTACCACCTTTCCAATTTGGAGTCCCAATCAAAGCCCCATCAAGGGGCCGACCACTCCCTTCCCTCTCTCCTATTTGGGGAGATTCAAATTCAAAAATCCCAATCAATCTTCCCACTTAAAGTTGCCATTAATTCCCAATTATTCCCCACTAATTCTTGCCCTAATTGTCATGCCCATTAAGACAAGGAAATAGTTCCAGATTTTAATAACTGATGGAATTAATTTCAGGATTTGGAATTTGCTTCCCTCCCTTATTCAAAACCCATAACCTAGAATTAAAATCCCCTCCCCCTCCCTATGGCCGGCGACCATTCGCATCCCATCCACTTTAATTATTCTTCCTAACCTCTTCCTCCCTCAAGAAAGAAGTTGAAGTCACCACTCTTCCGTTGGGCCAACTACAACTCAACCGTGAGGGCACATCAATCCATCGCCGACTACAAGGTATTGGATTCAAAGCGAGCTCACCGACGATCATCGCCCGGATCATAAAGAACTTTTTTAAAGTTCAGAAGCTTAAAGAAGGTGAACTCTCTTCCGAATATATTTATCTTCTAACTCCTCAATTGTGGCATCATTAAAATTATGAAACTTCTCTGCCTAGCCCTCTATTATAAGCATGTGTGAGGGATCTTAGTAGTGACTATTCTAACTGTTAATCGAGGGATTTTCTTTGAAAACCCCCACGTTAAGCAAAGCTTGATTTGCCTCCTAGTTGATATTGGTATCAACTGTGGGGAATATCTGGACAACATTATAAATTCTGCCTCATATTGCATAATGGAGCGAGCACTCTGAACCAGTCTGATGAATCTATCTTGCATTTGCCTCCTAGTTGATATTGGTACAAACCATTATCTAAACACATTTACAAATTCTCCTCAAAGTACCTGACCACTAGGTCTCCCTCCAAAAGTCTTCTGAATCTAACTTTGCCACCATGTCTCTACCTCTCCTTCAAAGATATAAGCAGCTAATGTCATCCTTCTATCCTCAGGACATGACATACCTTCAATAATTGTCTTATTCCTCGTCCGTCAATTTTCTGCCTTTATTGGTCCACCACCTGAGAATAAAGGTGGCCTCATGTCCTGAAATAGCTTTAGATACTTGTCTATAAGAGCACTCCCATTGCCACTAGCCTGATTCTGGGAGCTTTTAATCATCTGTGTCATTGCTGTCATTATCTGAGCAAATATCTCCATAGTAGCATTGTTGCTACCTCTTTGAGGTGCTGCTACTGCTGGTAGCTCCCTCTCTTCTTCACCCACATTGCCATTAGTGGCATTGTGCTCAAGATTCATAGTCCTAAGATATAAGACAATCATATGTCAAAAGAAGAGAGAGAAAATTCACATAACATGCATCCTATACATTCTATGAGTTATACAATCATTATATTGGCTCTTTCATTTTGATCAATATTTTTAAACCTTTGGCTCTTATACCGCTTTTGTCACGACCCGACCCGGTAAGCTCGAATTAACGAGGTGGTAACATACAATCGTACGGTTAATACTTAAAACTTTAATTCTAAAATTAACATAAACAAATATTCATTCAAATACAAAATATGAAAGAGCTACTAAACATCCATTTCGATCATTTTTATTACATCAGAAATAAAAAACTCATAACATAAAACATAACTACTTCAAGTACCGTCATACATAATCCATCAAATTTAAGCAGGTTTTCTTGAAAAATATTCCCACAACCAGGGATGAGCTAACGCTCAGCATGTAATAAATATTTCTATTAAATTCATAAAGTAAGGAATAAGAAACATTATGCTTAAAATTTTCATATGACAGGACTTAAATAACTTTATGAAAAAGTATTATAAATGTTAAGAATTGGTATTAAGTATGCACATTCTATATTAACTTTGAAGAGCTCTTTACCATTTTCTCCAAGGAGCCCTTTATTATTTGGGTACTCAGTATCACCATAGACATTCTTTCATACATTATTTATTATAGGGGAAATAATAATATGCATCAAATCATATTTTCCTATCTACTGTATTGTTTTCATGAAGTTTTACAAGTTGACATTTAAATAAATCTAAAAGGAAAAATATGCCACACTAACTATCATTTGTTGCAGTTTGAAATGAAATTAAATGACATGCTAATTTCAACTTAAAAATTATCAAAACATATGCATTTTTAACATTTGAAGAGAAAATATATGAAATTAAAAGAAATATTAATACCTACCTCAAAAAGCTAAGTAAACATTCTACGAGTACACTACGCTACTTATGCTTAGAGCGTATACCTTCACTTATATCCAACTTCTAAAGTTAATTGCAAAATATTATTACTAACTCATTAATCATAATACATTTTCATTAAAGAAATATTTTAATATTAATTAATTATTTTCGATTTTACTTAAAAACTATGTTTTTGAAAATTATATTTTCATTATTTCCATCCTATAAGCATGCCAAAATTCCCCTTTCTCCTAATTAATAATTAGGTTAGTATATTTTCGGATTATTTTAATAAAAAAGTTAGAAAAAATACAATTTTGTGAAAATACTTAATTTCATTCATTAAAAGTATTCTTAAGATCATTTGGAACAAAAATCATTAAGGAATTTTCTTAGAAATAAAAAAATATGAAAAACCCTAATTTTCTAAACTCACTAAAAAATTGGGGAAAACTTCATTTCTATGCTTTAAATCATTCCACCAACTCTCCCTAACATGTTTTCTCAAACATATTTGAGTTTTAGGAAAACCCTAATTTTTCATCATAAGAAATCTAAGGGAAATCAAAGATATTTTCGATTAGGAACTCTCCTTCTTCCTTCCCAGGGCTCTCACTTCGATTCCCTCCAAGAAACGCCGCAGAAAACCTTTGCCGAGATCGCCTAAGGAGCCTTGCCGTCGCCCTCTCTCCCTTTCTTCCTTCGGCCGAACGAAACCAGGCGTGTGAAATGAAAGGGGGACCAAATGGATTCGGTCTCTTAAAGCTGTGGACGGTTAGAGAGAGGAGCAAAAGTCCTATTTACCCTTGCATGCGTTAGCTTTATTTAGAACTAGGAAGGGCTATTAAGTAATTTACCATTTCATTTATAAAACTTCGACGATTTTTATCTCCTAAATGGTGCAAAATTTATCATATATTCTTTATATCGAATTGATCGAAATTAAACGTAGAATTTTATAAAAATTATTTCGTCGAAATTTGAACATTTTTTAATTTTGATTATTTTCGTCGCAGTGCATCGAAATGCGTGTGATGCTTACGATTTGACATTTTTCGTGTTTTACATTTATCATCCCTCTATTTTTTTCATAATCTCTTCTACACTTGCAAGAGGCCAATGATGTGCTTTCAACTTCTTAATCTCATCTTCATTAATTATGGAGAAGAGCAATTTCTATAACTTTATGTATATTGTGGGTTATTTCAATTGGGTAATGCCTCATTAACTTTTTCCCTTTCTTAGTTCTCCACATAGAATACTTTTGTGACTCTAATATTTCTTTTCTTTTATTTGTGTGCTAGATTTATGTGTAAAATTGGTATACAAAACTCTCTATATTATCATTAATATTCTAGCAGGCATCAATTGTAATATATCCTCATTATTGAGGATATTTTTCTTTATTGTATTTTTCTTATTGTCTTTTTTTATTGCTTTTATATGTGCATGGTTGTTCTAGCACCATAATTAATAAAGTAAATTATAGTTTTTTATTATTTCTAACCTAAGTGAGCTACTTCCCGCATTTCTCACTTCCCAGTTCTTGTTACATGCACAAATACAAAACCCATATTCTGTGGTTCAAAATCAGGATTACATGTGAAATATGTCGCTATTGTTACTTCTGCTGCTCGCTCATTATGATCTTTTTGATACTATTGTTTTCATTAACTGATTGTTGATGTGCACTTTCCTGTCCGAATCATCAACCTGTTTCCGTGAAATGCAAATATTAGGGTAATCTCAATGCTAATTAAAAACGGTTCTGCTTTTAAGGGTGTGTTGGTGGCTGTGATGATATCCTCAGAGAGCTGGTAGAAATTTGTGGAACTGGTTCAAGGAATGCAACTCCCATGACAGGTCTGTATTGTTTAAAGTTTTTAGAGCATTGATGCAAACAACATTGGCATATGCAATATGCAACTGTGTTCGTCTAGTTGAAGTCCTAACTGCTTTCGGTTTTGTGACACCCCCCTGTTTATATTACATTTCTTCCTTTGATTGCACCTAAACTTCTTTTGATAGTTACTGTTTCTATAAAATTGACCCATTACTGTGATGGTAAATTACTTTCATGTTGCCTATTTTAGTGTATGTCTATGCATGCCCCATATAGTTGACTCATAGGTATACAAATCGGTTCCTATCAAAGGGTTTGACTGAAGATGAGGGTTGTGACAAGTACATCTAGAAGACTTGCCTAAGATAGGTATTCATCTGAAGGAGCACTCGCCTTAAGTGAGTTTGCCCCCTTCCATAGCAGTTGTCTACAACCCAGGTCTTCGGTCTTTCGAAGATGTCCCAGTTCAAGACAAGAAGCACACACCTACAAAGCCTACGACTACAACTTTATTAGTTGTGCTTGACCGGGGCTTGTAGCCACTTCTCACCAAGAAACTTGCCATTCATTCCTAGGGACTTGTCTCATACTAGCCCTCGAAGACTTTCCCATGGCACTCACCCACTAGCTTTCGAAGACTTTCCCATGGCACTCACCCTACTTTGATTTAGGAGGGAAATAGGAGAAGTTTATTTAAGGCTAAGTTTGGGGTTTGTTTTGTTTATGCAGAATTTTTTTTAGAGTTGTAGTTTTCTTTTTGTAAGGGCTTTCTAGCGGCGTCTTGGTGGAGCTATGACGAGATGCCAGCCTATGCAGAACCATGATTTCACTCAAGACCATGGTCAAGGCAATATGGGTAGGGTTGGGCTACTTGGTGGAGTTGCAGGGCCTGGAGGAGGTTTGAGACTCAGAGCCAATTGTGGTCCCTGATGGTGTACGACAGCTTCTGCAATAGTTCTCTAAGGTTTTTTAGTCGCCTAACAGATTATCATTGCCCCGGGAGCACGAGCATGCCATTACCTTAAAGGAAGAAGCTTTTACTATCAGTGTCAAACCATACCGATACATGTAGATTCAAAAGGATGGGATAGAGAAGCTTATCAGGGAGATGCTTAAGACAGGAATAATTAGGCTTAGTGTGTATCCTTTTCTAGCATCGTGTTACTTGTGAGAAAGGATGATAGTTGGAGGTTTTGTGTAGATTATAGGGCCTTGAATAAGGAAATGGTGTTGAACGAGTTTCCTATCCCCGTAGTCGATGAGCTGTTGGATGAGTTGTTTGGAGTGGTCATTTTCTCCAAAATTGACTTGAAGTCGGGATACCACCAGATCAGTTGAAGCCGGGGGATGTGCACAAGAAATTTCAGAACTCATGAGGGTCACTACGAGTTTTTGGTGATGCCTTTTGGCCTTACCATTGCTCCAGCAACCTTTCAATCCCTCATGAACCAGGTTTTACAACCCTACCTAAGAAAGTTCGTCTTGATATTTTTTGATGACATACTGATCTACAGTTGTATAGAGACAGAGCATGTGGGTCACCTGAGGATTGTACTGGAGACTTTGTGGGAGCAATAGCTGTATGCCAACTTGAAGAAGTGTTCTTTCCCACAGTCGGGTGGAGTACTTAGAGCATGTGGTGAGCAAAGCAGGGTAGCAGCAAACCGGTCCTAGATTGAGGCTATGTTGGATTGGCTTTTACCTAAAAACCTAAAGGAGTTGAGAGGGGTTTTAGGCCTCGTTGGATATTATAGGAAATTTGTGCGAGGGTCTGGCACGATAGCATGGCCCCTGACTGAGCTGAAAAATGATAGTTTCAATTGGGGGGAAGCAGTGACACAAGCCTTTGAGCACTTCAATTGTCCTGGTCATCCAAAGGTGACCTTATTTGTTTGGGTGACATTTTGTCGTCAAGATAGACTAGAGAAGTTTAAAATTTCTATTGGAGCAGAGGATGTTAACTGAAAAACATCAGCGGTGGTTGTCCAAGTTATTAAGATATGACTTCGACATTCAATATCGCCCGGGACTCGAGAACAAGGTTGAGGATGCACTATCACAGAAGATGGATGAGCGACAGTTGACTGCCTCCCGATCTGTGCTTCTTGTTCATCTGCGACCTGAGCCTGAACACATACCTGTTGATTCCTCCCCTCTCAGCACGACCCCACACCACCTAGTGACTTCACCCAAGCAACTCGCATGGTCACTTTGCTCGCACGACATCTATCGCCGCTTTGTCTGCAAGCCGAGCACGCGACGCCCCCTGCCCTACTCATACTCCTGAGTAGTACTACACCTTAGCTACACGAACCCGGCCTCCGTCGTCCACCTCTTCCTGCACTCGCACGATGCTAATGTCCATGCGCGTGACCTCCTGGCTCCGATCCACTTGTTTCCCACACGATCAGACCCATTGAGCCGCATGGATCCAGAGCTCCGAACCTGGACACAACCTCGCCTACCTGATCACATTCACCTCCCGATCTTTTGAGCCCGAGCACCGTCCGTCTCGCACCCGCTCTCTTGTTTGAAGTAGCAAGTGAAGAAAGAATATATATATATATATATATAAGGAAAAAGACTGATTTCGAGGTTGATCCTTCCCCCTGAAGCCCTTGATCATCGATTTTAATCCGATCAAGCAGTCTTGAAAGGGCAAGTGCCCTTCCAATCTCCCCTCGCGAGGATGGGGCGTCAAAAGGATGCCAAATTTGGGGAGTTGAAGAGTTTTGACTAAATTAAAATATTATCTAATTAACTGATCAATTTAATTGACTTAATTAATTATACTAATTAATTAATTAAAAAATAAAACTAAAATCTTCTAATTAATTGATTAATCCATTTAATTAATAAACTAATTAATTTAAAAATCAAACTTAAATCTTTAAATTGATCAAACTAATTGAGTAATAAATTTAAAGCTTAACTAATTTTAATAATGAATATTTAAAAATTTAAAATTTCATTAACGAGCTGAGGAGTTAATTTTAAGTTGAAATTTTAACTTTAATTACCTAACTATTTTGTTAAATTAAAACATAGTTAAAACTAAAATTTCATTCAAATTAATTACCTAATTAACCAATGCAATTAATTCAAAATTAATTCAATAAAAGTAAAAAAACACTAAACAAATTTAAGTACAACTCACATCAACTAAAGACAACTCCTAAAGCTAAAACACCAAAAACTTTAACAAAGAAAACCACAAAGCTCTCAAACACTAGCTATAGCTCTAAACACCAAACCCTCCAAACTCAGGTCTTTGCATACACCAGTTTCTAGTAAACTCCCTCTTGTGCAAGCCCCGAACTCGTGGAAACAAATAACCCGGGTCGATGCAGGGTAGTAAAGAAAACACTGGGGCTAAAATAAAACATTGGTACTGAAAGTAGAACACTATTACTGTAGGCAAAACAAGTGAAGAAAACAAAGTGCTAAAAGTAAAAATACTAGAAGTAAAGCTGCAGTGCTAAAAGGGAGAAGTACTATAAACAAAGCTAGTACTGTGAGTCAAACACGTATGCTAGAGGCAAAACTACAATGCATAGTAATGAAAGCCAAGTGCTAACGTAAAGATGCTATCGTTGTAAACAAAATGCTACTAATGGTGTAGAAATAGTGAAAAGTACAAAACTAAGTGTTTGATACTAAATCCCCACTAAGCTAAGTTTTATAGGCAACCTTTAATAGAGGTCATAAGTCCTGCTTTAATTAGGGTATTAGGGAAAACTTTCCATGACAGATATTATGTCTCTGATAAAATATGGGTTACTTTCAATGAAAGCAGTAAGACCCACACTTAATTAACATGCAACAGAAACTTTCAAGTGAAGTAAAACTGCCCTAAGCTAAACTTAAACATACAGGCCAATTCTAAATGTAGAAATCATAAGACCTATCCAAATTCTAGGCAACTTTCAAAGGAAGTTGCAAGCCCCTACCTTAAATCCAAACACACGAGCAACCTCTAAACGAAGTTGTAAGCCCTGACCTAAACTTAAAACCTACGAGCGACTCCTAAGTGGAGCCTTATGGCTCGACCTAAATCTAAACCTACCGGTAACTCCTAAGCGGAGCCGTAAGCTCCAAACCAAACTACCATAACACTAAAACTCACATTTAACCACTTAAGTTAACTCGAGATCCCTGAAAGGAGGTAACCCATGGCTGCTAATCAGATTCCCTAGATACTACGATCAATGATTGTTAGTGTTGGTAGATTGAAATCTACGGTATTCTCGGGATGAATGAATCATGGGATCTTGATCGGCTCTACCTCCATCCCCTCCCCCCTGAAAAAAAGAGGTTAAAATAGTTGCTTGTCTAAAATTAATTCATCATTAATCAAGAGTTCTCTTCTACGTGATAGGAGGGGTAATAACAATGGGGGCTTGCGCTCATAGGAAGTAGGAACCCAAAACTAAATAAACCTCAATACAACCATCGGGGGAAATCTAGTTAATTAACATCTAATCTACCTCAAGGAAAAAATGGAACCTTAAGCCCAAGAAGTAGGCTTGTCAATTTCTGACACGACCTAAAAACCCGACCCGAAAATCTGGGTTAGGGTCAACCCGTGAAATAAACGGGTCGGGTTCGGGTCACGCGACTTCTAAATTCTAATACTTATATTATTTCGACTTTCGAGCGAGAGGCAGCTGTTCGCCTGTTTGAGACTTCGAGTCTTCGCCTCTAGAGTCTAGCCCTCTTCCATCTTATTCCGTTTTAGGGTTTGCACTCGTCTCCTCTCTCTCTTTGGGTCTTCAGGAGCACTGAATCAGTGGTGTTCTGTTGCTATCTTCTGCTATCGGGTTTCGACCTCTCGAATCCTCCTTTCCGGCTTTCTCGTTCATGACGGTTAGTAATATCTTCAATAACTCTTGACCTCTTGTTGTTTTGGACTGTCGGTGGTACGATTAGACGCTGTTTTTTATTTCTATTTAGTTTTTTTATGGTAGATTTGTTATTTTTTTGTAACAAATTTCGAGTTTTGATTATTGCCTATCGGTGT